TAGTGGTGGTGTGGGCCGGGCCAGCCGGGTTGGCGCATCAAATAATAATTAGCAACTTTGAGAGGCAATTTTGGACAAGAATTGTTGACACAGTCGCAATTAGCAATGTTGTTAAAACGGAACCGGACATCGATCCGGATTAGTAAAGGGTTCAAGGTTTATCAAATAACCGGTGGTTAATCGATATTAAAAACCGATCATAAACCGGTGTTGACTTACTTGGTAGACTTAACAATTATTTTTTTTACAATTATTGTTTCACTTATTAGAGATAATAGAATAAATTGAGAATTATTAAAACTGAAAAAGCATAATTTGGGCAGCTGCTAGGTCTTTTTTGGGAAAAGTGAACTGATTTTTCTTCTCTTTATATTTTATTCTGTACTTACCTTCTTTTGTTTTTGAATTTTTAATTGCAACAAAATAAAAGGAAGTCGCATGTTTGATTTTAAGAAGGTGGGTCGTTCCCCTAAAAAAAACAAAAAAAAAAGAAGGTGGGTCGTGAGTTCCGTGACACACCCGCCTCTTGAACTCTAAATGGCCAACCTTCTCCACTCCCCCACGAGGCCACAAATCCTTCTCCACTCCCCCACTATCCCACTTTCCACACACACGTACTCCACTGCATGCGGCCAAGTAAATCACGTGTGTAGAATCACTTTCTCTCCTTTATATAATGGAGATACCACTTTCTCTCATGTTACAATTTCCGTTTACTACTTCCCATACAAAACACTTCGGTTCCATTGACCGTGCGAATTGCATTCAATATGGCGGGCCTGCCTCAATTCAATAAGTAAGTACTGCTCATGCATCCAACAAATACTACATCATGTAATTTCGATTCTTTTTCACTACTTAATGCCAAAACTTACAGTCCAATATATAGGCTTCCCCATGGTTTTATTGCTAATCTGCAATATGATGATGCTCTTGAAATTTGTGAGTGTGCCGACACCATCGATCTCATTATGTTGCAAGTGGATGTCGAAAATCAGGTAACTAAACAAATAAATTTCTTTTTAATCGTACGCCTTTTGTGGCATGCTGCATTTTATCGATTTGCTTTGACAATATTCGTTTCTGTGTTTACATCAGGGCACCTCTTTTTTGTTATCCGGACGTGTAACGAATTTGACGACGTCCTGGTCCCCTGCATCCAGAATCCATTTCGTCCACCTCACAATTGAGGACGAATTCATTGGTGTTGACATCGTCTTCCCGTCATCACAGTTACGAACGATTGTTGAATCTGTATTCAGTCATGCAGATGTTGTCAATGCTGACTATATGACCCTTCTGAACATGCTTGGAGAACAGACATTTGAAGTCATGGTCACAGTCGGTCCCTGGAACGATGCATTTGGTTATTGTGAACTTGTGTTGGTGAAATTATTTTTGCCTTTGTTGAATTGAGTACCATGTCATGAACAATGAGACAATGTATTGAGTTTTCTTATTTTGGACTTGCATGTTATTTGTCGTAATACTCAACTAGATTAGATTTGTGATTAGTAAAATTTCATGTAAGTATTTTTATTGTGATTAGCTAATCTTCAAATGTATTTCTAACTTATTATGAATGTTCATTCATATTACATGTTCGTCTTCAACGAATTGCAAAATTGCAACAATCTTATGATAATATAAAACAAGACTCATTTCTCGACACTATCATTATAGATATTGTAACTCCATTTCCTTAAACAAATGCGGCCAACGGGCCGGGCTATAGGCTAGTTATAGAAAATGGCGTGTGATATTTTCGATTGCATATGTGGCCTATGCCTTCTCTTCCCAAAAAGCGGGAAGTTGTTCCGATAAATAAAAAGGCAAGAAAATAAATAAATAATTCTGGACGGGGAAAAATGGTAAATAAATAAATAAGCGATAAATAAAAATATAACGGCCGAAACAAAGCCGGGGGAAGCGAGAGCAAAATCCGGGATCGAGGGGGGGAAAGTTAGCGAGAGAAGGAATGGCGCCAATTTTTTCACCCTCCTCTTCCTCTCTCAACCCCTCCTCCCTTCTTCCACCGGATTTCATTCGTCACACCGCCTCCGGTCTCTCCTCCGCCGCCCGCTCCTCAGGCCGCCTCATCTGGCGGCGGAGCAAATGCAAAAATCAGAACTCAGCCATTGGGCACTATTCTCCGGAAGGACACGAACCCATGTAAGTAAATCCCAAGCTGAAAGGCTTCTTTCTGAAGCCATTTCCTCTCACCTGCTGCGATTCGACATTCAAGTTTTTGCTGACAGTATCGACCTTGCAGATATCTCGGTGGAGAGCTATTGGGCTCAGGAAGAAGAGAGGCCTTGGTGGAGATGACAGTCACCGCGTTCTATTTCCCTGCCATGGCTTCCGGTGCTGCTCCCCTCCAGAAAGGTAATTCAATCTGCAGGATCCTCTAATTGATCTGTAGTAATTATGCAAGTCCTCAGCTTTCCTCTGTGGCTAATTTGCCCGAATTGACAGAATCAGTGGCGGGGATCAATACAGTAACTCAGAGTTGTTGCTCACAAATTAAACTTTTAGGCCTCGAATGGAGAAGATTCCTTGGAGCATAGAATCAAACCCTAGTGAACTTTGCTTGATACCCTTGCAGTTCCTTTTTGCCCTCTGCTTTATTTCTATCTAGTATCAACCCTTTCTAGCAATTTTCCCTTATTGTTCTTGTTTATTTCCGCATTATTTGTTATAATAATAGTTTTACTTATTTATTGTTCTTATTTAGGAAGTTTGATAAGTTTGTTCTCTTCTACTTAGGGAAGGATTCTTACTTATATATAGAAAAGGGTTCAGTGATCAACATATCATCGTTTTATCACTAAGACAAGTAGAGTTCAGTTTTGAAGTCAGAGAAAGAGAGTTACTCTTTTTTAGGGTTTCTAAAGTTTTCAAAATAGGTCAATCGAAAGGAGCGATCTCAGCTTTGAAAAGGGCCGTGATGGGATCACCATGTCAGCCTCAACAGGTCCCCTTTTTTCCTTCCAATTCGCCATAATCGTTTGATTCTTTTCACCACATTCACCATTGTTCTGCAACTTGAATTTTGTGTAACTTCTTCTGCTAGGTCCATGTATCCGTGGTGGGAAGAGATCACATGAGAGTCACATGGATAACAGTTGACAAGCAAGTGCCTTCCACCGTAGAATATGGAAAGGAACCAGGCAGATACGAGGACAAGGCAACCGGGGAGCACACTTCATATAAGTTCATGTCATACACCTCTGGGAAGATACACCATGTGAAGATTGGACCTTTGGATCCCGACACCACTTACTACTACACATGTGGCGGACACGCTGCTGAATTCTTCTTGAAGACTCCTCCTGCAACTTTTCCTGTTGAATTTGCGGTGGTTGGTAAGTCTATTATGAAGGGTAAAATGCTATATCAAAACAGGGTTCTTCATAGTTCATAGCATCTAGCACATTGCAGGTGATCTTGGCCGAACCTCCCAGACGAAATTGAACTTGGAGCATGTCAACAGAAGCAACTACGACGTGTTCTTGCTACCTGGGGACTTATCCTACGCTGACTGCGACCAACCATCGTGGGACAAATTTGGTCTTTTAGTGGAGCCATTAGCCAGCAGTCGTCCCTGGATGGTGACGGAAGGAAACCACGAGATGGAGTGCATATTTGTGCGGGGCTCCAACGTTTTCAAGGCCTACAACGCCAGATGGCGGATGCCATACGAAGAAAGCGGCTCGCCCTCAAACCTGTACTACTCGTTCGATGTTGCAGGTGCCCACGTCGTCATGCTAGGTTCTTATGCTGAATTCATGCCCCGCTCGGCCCAGCACAGGTGGCTGATAAACGACTTGGCGAGAGTAGACAGGAAGAGAACGCCGTGGCTCATAGTATGTTTGCATGATCCGTGGTACAACACTAACTATGCGCATTCGGGGGAAGGAGAAGACATGAGGAAGGCCATGGAAGGGTTGTTGTACAAGGCAAGAGTGGATGTCGTTTTCGCAGGCCACGTTCATGCCTATGAAAGATTCGTGAGTCTTGGCTCTTTGTTGTTCTCTTGTTCGTTGTCTCTAATTCTCTGCAACTAAGTGATTGGCCCATGGCGTTTTGATTTCAGACACGGGTTTATAACAACAATACAGACCCGCGTGGGCCGGTGTATATAACAATTGGAACTGGGGGAAACCATGAAGGGCTTGAACTAAAGTGAGTGCTTTCTCCCGCTTGAGGCCAAATCCAACTCTATCTGTCGAGGAATGAACTGACTAGTCTTTTTTCTTGTTGTTGTTGTTGTGGGGAAATAAAGCTTCAAGACTCCTGCTTCCCGGCTGTCATTGTACAGGGAAGCACAACATGGACATGGAAGATTGAGGATTGTGGACGAGAGACGAGCACACTGGTCGTGGCACCGGATCAACGACTCCGAGGAACAACCGGCAGATGAAGTATGGTTGGATAACTTAGCCTCAGGATCTAGTGTCGATGAAGTTCTAATTAATTAGCCACCCTTTTTTGCCTCGTACACAGTGTAGGTCGATCTGTCCTTTTCAATATTAGCCCATTCTTTTTCCCGGATCTGTACACTGTATAATCAATAGTTTAAACTTATACGCCGGGGATTTTTAAAGGAACTGATCTGGAGAAGTTTCAGTTTAACATTGAGGTCAATTGATCAATAACCCCTATTCTACAAAGAACGTTCCAATGTTTGTTAATGTTGGAATATTTAAGTTGATGCACAGATTGGTTGTAGCTTCCTAGGAAACCTCTATTCCTCGGACAATTGCGAAGAAGTTGCCACTCTGCTTTCTATGCTTCTGGGTTGAGGAAAAAGCAATCTGCAACATGAAACCAACACCAACAGCTTTGTTTTCATTTTTCTAATCAGTCTAGGTCCAAAGTCATCATTTGGTAGTTAAAAAAACATACCTGATAACTGACATTGCCGAACTCTAGTCAAGTCTTCTTATTTTAACCAGAATTTCCAACTCCCAAGACTTTTGCCCTTCTATTTAAACGTATAGGAGGTCAAGATTCTTTGGAGGCACCAAAGCAAAACTCACAGAGAGGAAGATAAACAGAGACAGAATCCAGCAACTATTCATTATTATTGCATTACACCACAAGTTACTTTTTGATCACTTCTCGTTACTTTAGTCCCAAATATGGAATTCCATGCATCAACTGAGTTTGAGCTAGTTCCACTCCATCCTAGAGTCTTCTTCACTCCCCACAACGGTTCTGCATCAGATCCCCAGCAGGTGCACATATCAATCGCAGGGATAGATCACATCCGAATCACCTGGCTAACCGACGACAAAACAGTCCCTTCTGCCGTTGAATATGGCACTGAACCGGGAAAGCACGTCATCAAGGCCACCGGGGACAACAGCAGTTCATATCAGTTCTTAACCTATACCTCAGGTTTCATCCATCATGTGAGGATTGGACCTTTGGAACCCAACACCACTTATTACTACAGATGCGGCGGCTGCGGTCCTGAATTCTCCTTCAAAACCCCTCCCTCAACCTTCCCCCTCCAAATCGCCGTCGTTGGTAAGTCATTTTTGGTTACAAGACTCACATGTCAACAGATTTTCTTACCAAACCCTGTTTCATGTATGTATGAAGGGGATCTGGGTCAGACCGACTGGACAAAATCAACACTACAAGGGCTAGAAAGCAAAGACTACGACTTGCTGCTGCTACCGGGGGATTTATCCTACGCCAACAGCACGCAGCCTCTGTGGGACTCATTCGGCCGGCTGGTGGAGCCGTTGGCCAGCCGTCGTCCGTGGATGGTGACAGAAGGAAATCACGAGAAGGAGAGCTATCTGGTTGGCGAGGCAGAGTCCTTCAAGGCATACAATGCCCGGTGGCTAATGCCACACAAGCAGAGTGCATCCACCTCCAACCTCTACTACTCGTTCGACGTCGCAGGAGCCCACGTCATCATGCTCAGCTCCTCCACCGAATTCAGATCCGGGTCAGACCAGTACGCCTGGCTGGCGACCGACTTGGCCCGAATCGACAGAACAATGACGCCGTGGGTTTTCGTATCGTTGCACACGCCGTGGTACAATACCAACGACGGGCGTCAAGGGGACGGGGAAGGGATGAGAGCAGCCATGGAAGAGCTGCTTTATGAGGCTAGAGTGGATGTTGTCTTCGCTGGCCATATTCATGCCTACGAAAGATTCGTAAGGCTCTGTTCAAGTAGTTAATGAGCCAATTAGTTTACTTGATCACTGGGACTAATCTTGTTTAATGCTCTGGGATTTGGCTGCAGACTAGGATTTATGACAACAAGGCCAACTCGTTGGGTCCAGTCTACATTACTATCGGGACTGGCGGGTGCCATAGTGGAGTTTACTCACAGTAAGCAGCAGTGCTATTATTCTCATTAACTATTTTCAGTGATACTAATTGGGTAGTAACAAATTTAAACGGTGTGATTGCTGGATGTGAAAATAAATGAAGGTTTATGAAGCCAACTCCAGCGTTATCGTTGTGTCGAGATGCAAGGTTTGGACATGGGCGGCTGAGGATATTGGATGAGAAACGAGCCCATTGGTCATGGCATCCCAACGACTCGGATGTCGCTGAGGACGAGGTGTGGTTGACGTGTTTAAGCGCAGCTCGAGATGATTAGTGGTAATGCGGGATCGATGAATCTCAGCTGTTAGGTTTGCTTACTACTGTGAGCCGAATTGCAGTAGTAAGTAACAATGGGGATCAGCTGAATATGCAATCCTAATTGCAACTGGATTACATGAGGAAGAAGAAGTCTTAGTGAAGAAACGTTTCTTTCAAGTTAATTTACTTCAACATGTGCTTAAGTCCAAAACTACATTGTTTGGTTTAGTAGCTATTAGCCGTTGTTAATCCACCTCTAAATTCATATGGTATTAGATAATAAAAAAAGCTCCTAAGGTTTACGATGGCTGCTACTCTATCGCAGTCTAGTCACGGACAAACAACACTATCTTCGGGACACGCATGACGCAACTAATAGAAGAAACGGAGGAGTAATTGGTATGTAATATGGGCCATTTGAGCATTTGTAGCCATATAATCCACCCAGATGTGATGTCATAAAATCCGACATCCCTTTCCACTTGAATCCCAATGATGTTTTGAATCAAGCAACTGGTAAAGAAACTGATTTGTTCCACCAAAAAAAAAACTGATTTGCGCTTTACTGAACCTATATAAATATCATAATCGCAAAAGCAACCAAAAGAGAAATCACCCCCTTGGAACTGTAACCACTAACCACCCAAGTGAAAAGGGGGTTATTGGGCTTCCGCGCGAGGATGCCCACGGCTGCTTGGAAGCCCATGGTCTCACAAGAGATAGTTGTTCCTGAGTTTCAGGCTCCAACTAATTGACCGTAATCGTGATGGAAGTCCCAATCACCTGATTGTATGCATTTTTATTTTTTTTTGTATTGTTGCCAACATGACATTTTTTTGTCAAGCAATCCTTGCTATTGCATAGGTAACAGGTGAGGGATGCCACAACAATTACGGCAACACCTTACTAGGACTCAGAGACAGCAGATAAGAAAAATCATGTAAAGTAGGAGAAAGGCCCGAATAACTTAAGGCATTGCGTGCCACCAAATGGGCTGCCAACGTGACATTTAATGAAGACGAACTTTACGAGAAATGGAGCGTTTTAAGGAATACTTGTAGTTTCATAGAACGGACACACGGAGTTCCCTTATTCCAGGAAACCCCTTTTTCCTTTGCCACTCTCCTTCCTTTAGTTGACTCACTGTCCTTGAGCTTTTTACCTTGGGGTCAAGGAAAATGCAAATTTCAGCGCGAAATGAAAATGACAACATAGTTTGGAGTTTTGAAAATTTCTAAGTAGTTACGAGGCATAGTTTAATATCTAATAATTGACATGGAGGAAACCTCTATTCCTTGGGTCATCTCGAAGAAGTTGCCACTCTACTTCCTTTGCTTGAGGGTCAAGGAAAAAGCAACCTCTGCAAGACTGCAACATAAAACAACAACATTATTTTTTTATTTTCCTAATGGGTTCAGGTCTAAAGTCATCATTTGGTTGTTAAGAAACGTAGTTTAGTTCCTAATGATTGACATGGGAGAAGCCTAGTCTTCTTACTTTAATCAGAAATCCCCACTCCCAAGCCTTTTGCCCTTCTATTTAAAACGCATAGAATGTAAAGACTCAGGGTTCTTTGGAGGCACCAAAGCAAACTCATTAAAACAGAGAGGGGGGAAAAAAACAGAGAGACCAACAGAAACCAACTACTAAGCTCATTTATCACTTCACAAGTAACTAGATCACTTCTCTTAAATTCCAGAGATATGGAATTCCACGCATCAACTGACTTTGAGCTATACCCACTTCCTCCTAGAGTCTTTTTCACTCCACACCACGGTTCTGCATCCGATCCCCAACAGGTGCACATATCAATTGCGGGGACAGACCGCATCAGAGTCACCTGGATAACCGACGACAAAACTGTCCCTTCCATCGTCGAATATGGCATCGAACCGGGAACTTACCACGCCAAGGCCACAGGAGACAACAACAGCTCGTATCAGTTCTTAAACTACACCTCAGGTTCCATCCACCATGTGAGCATTGGACCCTTGGAACCCAACACCACTTACTATTACAGATGCGGCGGCCACGGCCCTGAATTCTCCTTCAAAACCCCTCCCTCAACCTTCCCCCTCGAAATCGCCATCGTCGGTAAGTCGAATCTTTCCCACGACTGGCATATCATATCCCAAACAAATAAAAATTCCATCTATCAAACATGCCAATACTCTGTTTGATGGATGCAGGGGATTTGGGTCAAAGCGACTGGACAAAGTCAACACTGCAGGGACTCGGAAGCAAAGACTACGACTTGCTGTTGCTCCCAGGGGATTTGTCCTACGCCAACAACAGGCAGCCTCTGTGGGACTCATTCGGCCGGCTGGTGGAGCCGGCGGCCAGCCGGCGTCCGTGGATGGTGACTCAGGGAAACCACGAGATGGAGGGCTATCTGGTCGGCGAGGCAGAGTCCTTCAGGGCATACAATGCCAGGTGGCTAATGCCACATAAGCAGAGCGGGTCCACCTCCAACCTATACTACTCGTTCGACGTGGCTGGAGGAGCCCACGTCATCATGTTGGGTTCTTGTACCGAATTCGAACTTGGGTCGGACCAGTACAAGTGGCTTGTGGCGGATTTGGCTGGGATTGATCGGAAAGCGACCCCGTGGGTTGTCGTTTCGGTGCACATGCCGTGGTACAATACGAACTACGGGCATCAAGGTGATGGGGAAGGGATGAGGGTAGCCATGGAAGAGCTGCTTTATAAGGCTAGAGTGGACGTTGTCTTTGCTGGCCATGTTCATGCCTACGAAAGATTCGTAAGTGTTGATTGAAATGGGTAATTAGCAGCGTATTCTACAAAATCAATGGGACTAATAATCCTATTTAATGTCTGGGATTTGGGTGCAGACTAGGATTTACGACAATGAGGCTGATCCGGCGGGTCCGGTCTACATTACAATTGGGACTGGCGGGTACCATGGAGGAATTGAACCATCGTAAGGAGAACTGTTATTATCTATCACTAAGTAACTATTTTGGGTTAGAAGTTGAAAATTTAAACTGTGGGATTTTGGGATGTGAATCTAAATGAAGGTTTAAGGAGCCAAAACCAGCGCTGTCGATGCATCGGGACGCAAGGTTTGGGCATGGGCGGCTGAGGATTTTGGATGCGAAGCGAGCCCATTGGTCGTGGCATCCGAATGAATCCGATGTGGCTGAAGATGAGTTGTGGTTGACCTGTTTAGCAGCAGCCAGCAGCTCATGAGGATGAGTATTGAGTAGTGATGCGTAAACGAATGGCAAGATCGACAGATTTATTTGGTTTGCTGCAACTGATTTAGCAGGTCCCTCGAACTTTGAAGTATCATTTTGGTTCCCCAACAATAAAAAGAAGGGCTAAATTGCAAGTTTACTGATTGGAATTACTTACAAGTTCACGTTTGTTACTAAAATTAATTTATTTCATTCGTAATTACTAAAATTAGTTAAACAGTTAAAGTTTGGTCACTCTCTATTAGTCTCCATTAACTTTAACTGACATGACAGTCAACTCTCATAATTGACCGTTAAATAAGTGATGTTGCAATTAAAAAATTAATAAAAATAATCATTTAAAAAATCCACCTCACTATTACAATAAATTAGAAAATAAATAAAACATAAAAAATAAATTCACCTCCCTTGGCGACCAGCTTCCGTTGTGGGTTCCAGTACGGCGCTGAGTCGACCATGTAGAACGAGTCGACCGTCCATTCGATCTCCGGGGTGCAGTAGCACACCGCTGCGACCACGTCGTTGGACTTTTTGAGTACCCATTGGGCTTGATTGTAGAACGACGGGAGGCCGAACCAGTGGAGGGCCTGCCCGACGGTCACGAGGTCGACGGTGGACTCGCCGTCGATGAGGAGCGGTAGGTCGTCGGTTGGGATTGTCAGCGGAGTGTGGCGGTAGTGGACGTTTGGGAGCCTCGGGACGTGGTCCAGCTGGGTAGAGCTCGTGTCGGTGGCGATTACGGACTTGTAGATTCTGTCGAGCTGGGAGAAGAGGAGAAATAAAAGCCTTTCATGTGCTTGGTTATAATTTGTTCACATTGTCATTTATATAAGGTGAGTAGTTTTTATGCACATTCTAACAACATGAAGATAGGAAAGAATCATCAGAAAATGCACGACGATTGTGTCAGTTGATCCTTCCTTGGAATGACAACGGGCAGGTTTTGAGAGGATGATAGTGAATCTATGCCCTGCCCTGCCTCCTAAAACGACGATTCTCTCTGCTCCGTGCTCTAGACGGTGAAGTCGGTAAAAAAAGAGGCACAGGGGCAGAGGAGGAGTTTGATTTCCCGACCAGAGTCGGCGTCAGGAGAAGAAGCGGCAGAGCTGCATAGGAGGAAGGGAGTAGTTGCTCGAGTAGAAGTAAAGTAATCTAGTGGTCTTCAACGTGTGAATTCTTTCACGCGTCACCATGGCCCGCTCTGATTAGCTACAGATCAGATCAAAATCTGCCCTGTTCCAATACGTGTCGGATTTTATCCACCCTAACACGGATCAGATCGGGCAATATCCATCGGAACGGATCTCAAATGCCATCCCATAACTTCCGATGTACGGTAAATAGAAATGCAGAAAGGGGGAACTCACAAAACTCACGGATACGACAGCCTGACCGCTTCCGGAGCCAACATCCCAAACAAGGTCGTCGAAAGGAGTCTTGGAAGCTATAAAATCAAAAAGTTGTTTTGGGTAGCTCGGCCTCGTCTTTGCATACTCTGATGCTTGCTTGACGAACAATTCCACCATCGATTGATTCCCTGCTCCTCCTTTTGTTCCGTTTATCTACTCCAATTTTTTATGAAGAGACTGAATTTGATGAGAACAACGAGCTGCAATGGCTGGCATTTATAGCATGTCGTACGATTAAGATGAGAAAGGAGGAGGAAAGCTCTGGGAAGCTGGCTATGGACTAATAATGTTGTTGGACAAAAAAAAAGAGGTTTCATTTCAGTGGGAGTTGTTAGGAACGGAACAACAACAAGAACGAGGTTACCGAAAACCTATCGAATAATAACTAAACACAAAGACAATGATTTCGAAATGGGTTGGTATTTATGGGTTGGACGAAGCGTCTAAATCACTTTTGTTGGAAGTGATAAATGTGCAACGGGAGGAGAGATAGCACGTTAATCACAGCTGTCCAACACGTTTGTCAAGAAGCACACCGATGTCCAGTCAGCAATCTGTGTTTCCTCTAACACCCAATCACGTTGCTCGGATGTGATGATAGTTGATTGCTCCCCCAACCGCGATCCAATGGCGGATCGACCTAGATCGCTTCCCTCGAGAGAGATTTACACTTTAATCCGTGTTTCGAATAAAATATGTGTAGTTTAGGATTTTTTTTTATAAAAACTTATATTTTGGGAATATTTTCTTAGAACATGTGTATTTATCAAGGTTTAAGAAAGCGCAAGGCGTAAGGCGAGCGTTGAGCCTCTGCCTAGCTCGTAGCATGCTTAGGCGTGCCTAAGCGTTAGAACTTAGATGTAAAAGTAGCAAAATATCCCACACTTGCCTAAAATCACAAGTTTATGAACCAAATATCATCACATCTACATCTCATTTCTAAACCTTCATCACCAACACATTATAAAGTATAAAATAGTGCGGAGAAATGAGAAAGGAAGAAGAAGGTGGAAAAAAGAGATGCAGATTGAGAGTGAAGAAGCTACTCTAGAGATGGTCGTCTCTAATTCTAGCCTAGCGGCTAAGAACAATCGGCAGTGAGAGAAGGAAAAAGAAGGACGATCTTGATTTCTCTATAACCTATACCAGCATATCAAAAGATAGAAAAAGACATTGTGACTTTATTTTGCGGCGCAACTCAATAATTACAAGGTGCCATCGAGGTCACAACGTGATAGTGGAGCCTTGTCCATTACTTTTGGTCAAAGCAAGGCATTTTCCTTTTGACTTGCGTCTATCCAAATGTCTAGACGCGCTTTTTAGGACCTTGATATTTAAGGTAAAATTTTTCTGATTTTAGATGTTTTCAACACTAATTTATATCTTGCCCATATCATTGTGCATTGATTGTTGCATAGTCTAATAAAATAAACTAAGAAGTGAATTATATTATTAGGGGACAAAGTACATTGGATTAGGAAGCTTAAAAGTGCGGTTGCCTAAAGAATGACCCAAAAGGTCGCTCCACTGATCCCCCACATTGCCCCAGATCCTGTAACCTTCCTCCATCACCTGCCGCCTCATCTCCGACTTGTACACCACCCCACTCTGCCCTCTATACGACGCCGTCCTGCACTTTCAGATTTTTTCCCCTCGTTAACTCAGCACATACAAAAAATTATTGAAAGCCAAAATAATATGTACCGGTGCGGTTAATTACCTGAGAATCAGGCGATGATAACCAACGAACCCCTGGCGCAGGAGATTAAGACGCGTGGCATCTCCCAGCGCTTCCTCGTCCCTCCCCGTGACGAGAAAGACCTTAAACCCAGCGTCCCGGAGATAATTGAACAGGCCCAGCACGGCCGGGATCGCGGGGGAACGGGCCTTGGAAGCCCAGGCCCGGAAAGAGAGCGGCTCGTAAGGAAGGCAGCCGTAGGACCTCCTGGTCTTGTAGTAAAGCATGTTGGAGAGGCAGGTGTCGTCCACGTCCAGAACCCACGCATCCATCCCATCATCGTCACTAGAACTCGAACTACCGGCGGCGACGTTGGACGCGTGGCCCATGATCTGGTCCACAATCAGGTCCACGTCCCTCTGGTACTGGCCCGAGCCCGCCATGTAGGCTTGGATGTAGCCGCAGCACTGGGCCGGGACCGTCCACCAGCCTCGGACGTTGTTGGTCTCTGCTCCTAGCCTCCAGCTCAGGCAGTAGTTGCTGCTGCTGCTGCTGCTTTGCAAAACGGTGTCGCTTTCCTCGTCGTGCGGTGGTGGTACTACTACTTCTTGCGCCACCGCGGCCGCCGCCGCTGCACACAACAACAAAAGGCAATATCGCACCAGAACTGCTGCTGCTGATGCCGCCATCTTGCTGCTGCGCTTCCCTTTCTCTGCACATACAACAATATAATATATTGAGAGGAATGGAAGGAAATGGAGAAATGTTGTGTAATGTCCCCGTGGTCACGAAAAAATAAGATGATTTCTCTTGTGTTGTTTTATGACTCCCGTCCCGTGCGTCCACTCACAAAGGAAACTTACTTTTCTGCTTTAAAACAACAAAAGTGTGCAAACTGGTGGGGGTGGAGCAAAATTGTGGTTAACCGAAAGTAAATAGCTGAAAGCTAGGTGGGATATTGGCCAATATATATATGAGATGGCTCATAGTCATACATAAGGCCGGACAAGTATATCTAGTGGAATATATAGCAGCAACTGTGAGCAGTTTGTTCCCAAAAAGAAAAAAAGGGGAAGATGGATGGAGAATCGTCAGTGGTCAGTACGTGTGATTGTTCCTTCCACCAATGTGTTGTGTTAGAGTACTAATGGCATATATAAATGTTACTTTGGAGTGCTCATTGACTTTTTCCATTAATATACATACATATCATTATTCCCACAAGTCGTACCAGCAAGCATGCACTCAATATTGTCATGGCGAGTAAACTGTGGTGCGGACAACAATATATAGCCAGACCAGAAGTGGAGCATGAGAGCTTATACTAACACTATCTCGGGTGCAAATTCGAGAGGTGCAAGTTGAGTGGGAAATGGTAGGAGGGTAAAATGGTAGGGGATGTAAGTAGAGTGAAAAGTTGTTGTTTTGAATAAAAAAGTAGGGTGTAAATATAGGATGAAAAATAAGTAAATTATATTATTATCAAATTTATAAAATATTATTACAAGAAATAAATAAATTTATATATAATAATTATAAATAAATTTTAATAAATATACTTCAATAAAGATAATTATTAAATAGTAATGCTCAAATGTTAATTAATTATAATAATCGTGAAAATCTTGGTCGAGCAAGCGGCTCGAAACCAACTCATGATTGGTCATCCTACAGATTTTTCGTGTCCAGTTTAACTTTAAATTGGATCAGGTTAAACAGATTCGAATTTGTAAATTTTAATTTATTACTCAAGTAAACTGAGTTAACCAAAACATTCATCTCTCTACCTTTTCTATAAACACTTGTCCTCTCTAATTTTCAGTGCAAATTAGAGTTAACCAACAGATCTCGAAATCCAACGGTCACCCCCAAATAACGTTTGCATTAATGATAACTATAAGAAAAAATGATTATATAAAAATCTCTCACGGGCTTGAAGTTTGTACAGTGCCACCATACGTTGTGTTTTAATCAACTGTTAATATTGGGGGTCGTGGAGATTCAAACACATGACCACTTGGTCAAACCAGCTCTGATACCGTGTCATAAACCAACTATTCTCAATAACTCGAATTATTGGGAGAAAGTTATGTTGAATCTTATACCACACTAGCTGGATCTTAACACTTTCTTCCTTCTATCTTGGATCATTTGCCGTGCAATCCAAAATAGTAAATTAGGAACATCATTTTGCACTCTCATACGATTACAAATTAACCAAACATGTGCGAACTTATTAGAAATGGTGTTTACCTCTCTAATTTGCACCTCTCCCCTTCCCCTTTAACAAACAAGTGCAAGACTTTATAGTTTATATGATTAAAAAAAGAAAATGTCAGTTTGTGCATCGAATACATAGGGACAGGAGCATAATACGGCAATAATGAAGTAAGAAATTGGTCGAGGGTAATTTGATGAACGCTGTACTGGAAGCTAGCTTGATCTAATGTTAAAAGAAGATGTGGGCGTGCGAGCGTACGTACCTGGCCTAACCCAAAACTAATGAGTAAATACAAGTTGGGTTAAGAAGGATCGATCTATATCATACAGCTACAAAATAAGGAGTTGGTCTGGAAGAAGCACATCGTATACATGTATATATAGAGCGTGTGAGAGAGAGAGAGAGAGAGAGAGAGAGAGAGAGGTAATGGAAGTCGGCAGCAGTATATATGTTGGCCACTTAGCATAGCGATAATGCGCCCGCGGGGAGTCTTTATTTATGATATTTTTCTTTCATTTTGTTTGTTGTTGTTGGGTTTGACAAAGGAGGATTGTGAAATTAGCCATCAATGGTAAAATAAAATGTTGAAACGGAGATGATTATGACGAGATATATTTCATGATGGTTGTCGGTAGCAAAGGTAAAAACAAAGACACCCAAGAAGTGGGAGCCCAGTCAGAGGCCATAACCATCCCGGCCAGAGGGAGCATGATGCATCTTCATCAACATCATATATACTAGATTTGAAAACCGGTACATTGGCCGGATGCATTTTTTCAAAAATATTAGCAATTATTGTTAATGTGTAAGCAAGATATATTTTTATTGGTATCAAAAGTCAAAAGATCCGAACCATTTAATTACTGAATTTTTTTTAAAGGAACATACATCATAGTATTTTTCTAATATGCTAACCGGTTCATCTACAAAAGTACCATGCTCGTTGGCTGGATGCATTATTTCAAACATATAAGCAACGTTTGTAATTGTACGAAGTAAGGTATATTTTTATTGATATCTAAAGTCAAAGGATTTTAACTATTCAATTAATGAAATAAAAGGAACATACATCAAAGAATTTTCTGATATGTTAACTGGTTCATCAATGAAAGTTCTTGCTGAAAATACAAAATAGAACTCATGAAAGGGAACCAACTCTTAAAAAACTTCAGTAAACTACACTTCAAATTACTTTTTTTTAAGTGAAATGTCATTAAGAATGCGACTGGGGCAAAACCCAAATGGAAAGGTACAAGTAGAGAAAACAAAAATGGATCAGAAACCAAATC